TACAAAAAAATTAACTAAGTGTTTACATATCATAAACTTAGCTTGGGGCTGTGTGAATTGTCCTAATGTTATTTTTTTTATCAATATGTTTTATGGCTCTGGATACAAGTCCTTTTTAGCCCATATTATAATATTTATTTATTGTTGCCACACGAAAAATGTACTTATACCTTGTTAATAAATCTCAACCTTTACATATGAATATGTAAAATTTATAATTTTTTATATATAAATTTATATCAGTTGTCTAGCACCCATAACGCAAGCTCTGCTTACCGTGGGACTAGATGGCGCTGTGTTAATTGTCCAGGGTTATTATTTTATTTTATTTTGATTATAATCACCAGCATAATAATACAGTTCCTTCGCTTACACATGTTGAATGAATGAACTATAACTCGGTTGATGGCCAAACAGTACGAGTACTCGTGATGTGAGTGGGCAGTGACCATTTGTGGGTAATGGAGCGCACACAATATAAATTCGTTCATTGATCTTCGCGCATAATGCCAGTTTGACCTTAAACCTTGCTCAATAGTCTGGCCACTTTGATAGCGTTTGATTACTTTTAGTCGGCTGCTTTGGTATTGGGGTTCAATTTTATAATATGTATAAAATATAATAATAATGTCAGAACAATTCACACAGCGCCATCTAGTCTCAAGCTACCTAAAGCTTGTGTTATGGGTACTAGACAACTGATACATATACATAAATATATTTTTTTTGTAAATACATACATATTATACATAGAAAACACCCAGACCGATACAAACAATCATAGTTATGAATACAAATGTTTGTGCCGTGCGAGGAATCGAACCCGTGGCCGTCGGTCGTAAAGCGGTGTGCTAGACCGCTTGACCACCGAGGTCGTCAATAATTGAACTAATTGTATTTTTGGCTGTAAATTCAAATTCAAAATATCTCTATTCATGTAGGTCTATTACAGACTCTTATGATATGTCAAATATACCGTCAGTTCGGAATGATTTCGAGATGAGAAGAACTGACAAGAAACTCATTATAATATTTAAAGAAAAGCAATGTTGGTGGCATGGGTCTAGGATGCATAGCATGCAGTGTAGCTGTTCTGTCACGTTGCGGCTACCAAACGTCTAGTCCGAAAAAATAAAACCATAAATACACGACCAGCTACTATAGAGTATAAAGAATATATCGGCGGAACCTTCAGTGACGAGACGCGCTCTTGTCTATTGACATTTAATTTAAAGAATATATACTTATTTAAATTTGTTCAATTCAAATACCTCGATCAATATAATGATGTAACTAACATGAATAAAATACTCATTCTAATTAAACTTTCACGGTTAGTATCTAGACTGGATATTACTACGTAATTCAATTTTTTTTATTTGATGATAATGGAACGGTACACCCGCCTGGGCTAATGGTTTACGCTGGCGGGGCACTGAAGGGTGATAGGATGAGCAGGATCTCAGGAGACTAGATATTACTGCGTAGTCTAACGAGTTTTTTTTAATTTCAGGACTAGCTACTCAACCCGGCTTCGCACGGGTGTCCATGTATTATATATATAAACCTTCCTCTTGAATCACTCTATCTATTAAACCAGTTCAAAATCCGTTGCGTAATATTTAAAATTTAAGCATACATACGAAAGGACAGATAGCGACAGCGACTTTGTTTTATACTGTGTAACAAGCTACTTGCCCCGGCTTCACCCGGGTGTACATGTACTATACACATAAACATTCCTTTTGAATCACTCTATGTATTAAAAAAAATGCTTCAAAATCCGTTGCGTAATTTTAAAGATTTAAGCATACATAGGGACGGACAGACAGTGACAGCAACTTTGTTTTATCTAATGATAATGGAATGGTGCACCCACCTGTGCTAACGGTTTACTCTGGCGGGGCACCAGTGGAGGATGATAAAATGAGCATGAGGTCAGATCAGATAGGACATCGTGACAAATTCTCCAGAAACTTATCACGATGATTTCATTAGAGAATCGCATGAAGGTCAATCTGATATTGCTAGTAATTCCAGTTCCTTCAGTCTGTCGAGTTAGGGTCCAGGGGTCTAGGCTACACTGACCGTGGTCAACCTACTGGATATGATTAGTCGAAAGGTTTAGTGAGGTAGATAGAATATAAAATCATTTATTCAAACAAACTTAATTTAATCACTTTTGAATAGTCATAGTTATCATTCTTTTAATCTACCGCTTATTCGGAAAGCTTCATCACAAGAAGAATGAGCAAGAAACTTGCTTGTTGCTCTTTTAAATAATCATTGTAACTTTAAATTTCCAATTTGAAACGTGTGAATACAAACTACCAACCAGCACTAATTTATTTGGGTCAAATATAAATATACAATAAGATTAAATCAGTCGTAGTGATAAGAGCAGACCAGTCCCTACAAGCAGTACTCGTTCACGAGTATGACGTAATTTATCAAATGATTAATTCTAAGACTTCACAAACTATATTCTAATTAATCTTTATTTAGAGGGGAAAGAGGATTGTTAGTAATGTGGACTAATGATCTCATTGCTAGCAATGTACCATGTCAGGTTGACCTCCACGCGGTTCCCCCAGGAAACCATAGTGATAAATTCTTGCTGAATTTGTCACGATGGGTTAACTAACCTAACCTCATGTTCATCTTATCATCCTTCACTGGTGCCCCGCCAGCGTAAACCGTTAGCGCAGGCGGGTGCACCATTCCATTATCATCATTAAAAAAATCTTTATTTACCTACTGGGTACGTAGTTATATAACTGAAATTACTCTTAGATAATTAGATGATTACTCGAAAACGATTCTGAAAACGTCATCTTTAGTTCTTTTAGTTAGTATGTATTGTCAAATGCGCTCTATTGTGGAGGCAATCTGAACGCTAGTGAAAGTACGAGCATGTTCATAGTAACTGGTAGACCTTGAGATTGCATCGACATGACGGCCACACTCAGAGAAAGGTGGATTGTAATCTGATTGGAGAATAGTAACCAAATAGGGAACTGCACGGGAATTTGTTCCTACAAATTCCCGGGACGCAATTCCCGAAATTACTCCTAAATTTTTTTTCGGACTTCTCTAATGCTGTTAGCCGCAGCTGGCCTTTACAGCTTCACCGGTCGATACGCGAGTGCAGATGGCACTCCAAACCCGAAAGACTTATGGAGCGGCTGAAGGCCAACTCCCGCCTGAATGTATATCCACAATTGTGGTAATTTTCTGGAATGTAATGTAGATGCTAGTTTGAGAGGAATGATGGTACTCGTAGCTCTGGGTCAGTCAACAAATAACTAACTGCAAATGAAGTGCTGCGAGCCTGTGACATTGGAGCGAGCGGTGAGCGGCCCAGGGCTGCCAACCTTACTGCATTATGTTATATAGCGCCACAAACATAATCGTTCATCAAAACAGGAAGTAATGTAAAAATTATTAAAATTCAATTGAGTGATAACACTCAATTTAAAAACAGTGATAGCGTCACTAGGAGAGATAAATTTATGGAACTGAACGTTTATTTTAATGATTGCTAATGACAGTGGGAGATTAGGCTGGCGAGGCAGTTACCATTACAGCTAGATGACACGTTAAAATTAGATAAAAAATAACACATATAGTATGTCCAGGTCCAGGGCGCATTACTCAAAATTCAACATATCTTTATACATGTAGGTAACTCAAAAATTATTGGTCAGATTTTGGTCAAATTTTATATGGATCCTTATGAAAGGAACCAGCTTTATAATAAGAAATCATAAAAATGATAAAAATGATATAAATCGGCTAACATTTAAAAAAGTTCTGAGACAGATAAAAAAACAGAGTGAAGAACATTCTCCATTTTTCCTTTACATTTCCTGTACGACCTTGTGTTTACTTTAACCCAAATAATATTTTATCTATCTACCTTTTTTTTAATTTGATTCAAAAGAGTATGAGAATGATACTCGATGTTGTAACAGAGCCCTAGAGGAGGGAAAGGGGATCTTATTGCTAGAAATGTACCATGGCAGCTTGACCTCCACGCAGTTCCCCTGGAAACCATCGTGATAAATTGTTGGTAAATTGTCACGATGGCCTAACTGGCCTGATGCTTATGTTATCATCCTCCACTGGTGCCCCGCCAGCGTTAACTGTTAGCGCAGACGGAAATAGCATTCCATTATCTATACCTCTATGCATATAAATAAAATTTGAGTGTCTGTTTGTAACATTGAAATAACAGTTTTTTACTACATGCATATGAATATAAATACGGTACATACAACAAAATAACATTTTTTACAATTTTCATCTGTCTATTTGTTTGTTCCGGCTAATCTCTGAAATGGCTGGACCGATTTTGACGTGACTTTTATTGGCAGGTAGCTGATGTAATATGGAGTAACTTGGCTACTTTTATTTTAGAAAATAAAGTTAAATTCCACGCGGTCGACGTCACGGCAACAGCTAGACATACATAAAAAAACCCGAGCCCAATGGTCTACACTGTCTGTCATAGACCATATTATAGGATCTACCATACCCATACAAGGATGGTAGGTGGCAGCGTTATTATTTCTCGGGACGGCCCGTATTTTAGGCTTAGGTTAAAATGTCCCGGCGGGACTGACTCTGTCCCGTATTCGAATCGTGCTTCGTTTTTTATTATTAAATCGATCGATCTACCCTAGACAATTTGCCTTTTGATCATTTGTCCCGGCAAAAAAATAAATTCTCGTATTTTTTGCCTATAAGCGTTTTTTTTTTTTTGTGAATGATAATGGAATAGTGCACCCGCCTGCGCTAACGGTTTACGCTGGCGTGGCACCAGTGGAGGATGATAAGATGAGCATGAGGTCAGGTCAGTTAGCCCATAAAAAAATCGATGATTCCCAGGGGGGCATTCTAGTGGCAGCCCTAGTTGCGGTGCGTGCCGTAATGTGCAGTCCGCTGGCATTAGGCTTCCAGCATACAACCAAATGTTCAACTAGTTCGCGATACAACGCCGTCGTTGAGTGACGTATGTACACACGTGCGCACGAGCTGACATAACATCGCGGGTGATCATATTCGTCAATGAAATACATGTTAGTTTGAAACTGTGAAGGTATTTACTAATTTTACTATAGAACTGTCTAGTTTTAGAAGAAAAGAAAGAAAGAAATCGTTTTTTTGTAATCATTGTAAGTATATTAACATTTATGTTCCTATAAAGTTTATGATTATTTGCATTATCCCACTTTATTTTTAAAAGAAAAGAAAGAAAAAAATACGTATCTTTAATGATCATTGTTACGGAAGGACTGTATTAAGGCTGGTTTAAAATGAGACACGCGAGGTAAAATATGTGTAATCAGCTCGCTAGCAAAAATATAAAGACCATTAATATGGCATAAGAAAACAAACGGTATATAAAAACAGAACGTCAAAGTATAAAATTCAAATATATATAAAAAACATAAAAACTATCAAAAATTTTGCCATCGGCAACAATTATTATAAGCATAACATTTACGCAAAGATTCATATACTTTATAGGAGATAAAGTATATGAATCTTTGCACTTTCCCACTTTATTTTTAAAAGAAAAGATAGAAAAATACATGTTTTTTAATGATCATTGTAAATTTTTTTCTTTTTTTTTTTATTACTCTTTATTTTTAAAAAGAAAAGAATAGAAAAATACATGTGCGATCTCTTCCAGACAACCTTTGGGTAGAGGAGAAAAGACAGAAGGTGGTGGATGGCGTATGATGGAGTACTTATATAATGATCATATCATAAAAATATGTAATATATTTTTATAAAATAAATGTAAGTTATTTTCACTTTCTTTTATTTATTTACTATACCACTGTGAGGTCGGCTTGTCATAATGTTGCGGCGCCAGGGCAATCTGTCCTGGGTTGTAGATCAAGCAATTTTTCCTACAAATTTTGTGCAACGTGAAAAATTTAAAACTATTGGTACTTAGTTGTTTTAATTCGTCAAATAACTACCTATTTAATTTCTTAAGCAAATTTTTATAAAGTAAATATATTATTAGATGGCTGTAATAAGATTTTTGTTTGATTATAATTTATAATTTTGACGACCTTGGTGGTAGACCACCGAAGTCGTCAAATCGGTCAGCGGTCACACCGCTTTACGTCCGACGGTCGCGGGTTCGATTCCTCGCACGGCACAAACATTTGTATTTATGAGTATGATTGTTTGTGTCGGTCTGGGTGTTTTCTATGTATAATATATATGTATTTACGAAAAATGTATCTATATATATAAGCTTTAGCTAGCTTAACTTGGATCTAGATGGCGCTGTGTGAATTGCCCTAAGATTATTATTATTATTATAATTTTTATTTCACATATTTTTTACAAATAATTCATGAACTCCCTGACTTCTGAGGTATAGAAAATACCTGTGTTTCAGAAGTTAGTGTCCTCTTCCATATTGAGGTCTTTAAGTGGATTTGTTAGGATATTTTACAATTTAAGTAGGTTGGTGTAATCGTAGCAGTGTGTTTATTATAATTAAAAGCCAATAAACAAATCTAAAAGAATATGATCTCATTGCATACTTATTAAATTTAAGCAAACCCGTACAATCGTTGCGTAAATACGTACAGAATTTGATAAGTAAAAAAAACTAAGTATCAACTAATTTTAGTTGATACTTAGTTTGATTTAGTTGATACTCATTTGATTGCTGTTGCCGGCGACTGCCGCGGGGATATCATTTTCTTATATAAATAAAAATTCTAAAATAAAAGTAGCCTAAGTTACTCTCTATTATATTAACTAACTGCCAGTGAAAGTCCTGTCAAAATTAGTCAAACCTTTTCAGAGATTAGCTAGATCAAACATACAATTTCTTTAAAAATTAAGTACCTATCTACTTTCATGTACCTTTCAAACGCATTTCAAGCAAGCAATTTGAAATTATAAACTGACATATACATTTTATTTATTTGTATAGATATAGATTGCCACTAATTTTATAGTACTCCTGTACAAGCTATAGTTTGTAATATTTGTATGTATTACGACAATGATAGAATTAATGTCACTAAATTTTCATACAAAAATATATGTAATTTATGTAAAACCAATTTTTTTCGCCTGCAGCTGGCAATGTAGATAATATGGTAGCGTTATACTTTCAGAAATAGAAATAATCTTTATTCAAATAAACTCATTACAAGCACTTTTGAATAGTCATATTTTGATTCTACCACTCATTCGGAATGCAGATTCATCACAAGAAGAATGAGCAAGAAACTTGTTTGTTGCTCTTTTGAATTAGACAAACATTTAGTCATAACTGACTATATTATAAACATAATTAGTATATATATATATACATAATAGTATATCTAGTATTTCTGTTTAATAATGAATAGGAACCTAATATGGAAATATTTAATTATGTGCCCAGTAGATATATGCTCAATTTACACTCAGCCCGAGTGAGCAGGGCAGTGAGCAGCGCGAGAGTGTAAACACGAGTGGAAACACTTCCCATGCCATTGGCGCTGCCACTCGCGCAGCCCGGCGCTCCCTCGATTGTCGGTTTTTTGTGCGCGAGTCAAAGGACTGGCAGCGCGTAGGCAGGGGAAGCGGCTGAATGTAAACGTAAAAACATTACAATATTTATGGGCAGATAAATATTGCGAAAAATTGATGCGTATTTACAATTTTCAAAACATATGAAACTCACTCGTTTACTGTTGTAATGTTTAGGCTGAAATACATTCGTGCTATAATATGTTCATACATACAACGCTTCAATGTTTTGGGAAAATGTAATTGTTACAAATTTATCCTTATTAAATGTATTTATGTTATGTGCTGTATCATAATATGTACCTAAAGTATAGTACTGATGCTTTATTATGAACCTTATAGGTGTTTTTTTTTCATGGATGATAATGGAGTGGTGCACCCGCCTGCGCTAACGATTTACGCTGGCGAGGCACCAGTGGAGGATGATAAGATGAACATGTCAGGTTAGTTAGCCCATCCTGACATATTCACAAGGAATTTATCACGATGGTTTCCAGGGGGAACCGCGTAGAGGTCAACCTGACACAGTATATTGCTAGCAATATGACCATTAGTTCACGATTTTCGCTGGCGAGGCACCGGTGGAGGATGATAAGATGAGCATGAGGTCAGGTCAGTTAGCACATCGTGATTATCACGATGATTTCCAGATGGAACCGCGTGGAGGTCGACTTGACATGGTACATTGCTAGCAATAACATCATCAGTCCACATTACTAACAATCCCCTTCAACCCCCCCCCCCCCCCATAGGTATTTATTTGGGGGGAAAGGGATCGTTTGTAATGTGTGACTCATGACCTTATTACTAGTAATATACTATCTCAGGTTGACCTCCACGCGGTTCCATCTGGAAATCATCGTGATAAATTCCTGGTGAATTTGTCACAATGGGCTGAATGACCTGACCTCATTTCATCTTATCATCCTCCACTGGTGCCCCGCCAGCGTAAACCGTTAGCGCAGGCACCATTCCATTATCATCCATAAGAAAATAGATACTTATTGTGCGGTTCCCCTGGAAACGATTACGATAAATACCTGGTGAATTTTTCACGATGGGCTAACTGATCTGACTCCACTAGTATCCCGCCATCATAAACCGTTAGCGATTTGGGTAGTTTGTGGCTCTATATCCCTTCGATTGATCCCCCGTCCAATTCAAACGGGGATCGATGTTACGACGGCCTGAGCCGAGGTTGAAACCCCTAGCGATGCCCTCAGACTAAAGTCGTATCCGTCAGGCGGGAGTTGGCCTTCAGCCGCTCCATAAGTCCTTTCTTTAGTTTGGAGTGCCATCTGCACTCGGCCCGTATCGTCCGGTGAAGCTGTAACGGCCAGCTACGGCCAACAGCATTGGAGTATGTTAGAACGAGATTTGTAATCGATGATTAGACTGACTGGTATGGCAGATGAAGTATGTATGTATATATGAAAAGAGAGTGTGTTTTGTCATCTGTCTGTCGTCGTATTGATGTATCCGTATAACTCATCTATATTGTATTAAATGTGTTTTTATATTATTTTATCTTGATTAGAAATATATTTTGTTTATCTTATTCTACGTTGTTAACTTGGACACCACTATAGTTACTCTGTTAATGTGAGAAGTTCAGAACTAACTTCCTTCACAGAGTGGTCACAAAAAGGTGTTGTATAACAAAACTACCTACAAATACAGTTTTGGTTATCTATACATCTATACATATAAATTAAATTGGAGTGTCTGTTTGTAATATTGAAATAACCGTTTTTTACTACATGCATATGGATATAAATACGGTACATATACCAAAATAACACTTTTTACATTTTTTGTCAGTCTGTCTGTCGGTCTGTTTGTTCCGGCTAATCTCTGAAATGGCGGGACCGATTTTGACGGGACTTTTTTTGGTAGGTAGCTGATGTAATAAGAAGTAACTTAGGCTACTTTTAGTTTTGAAAAATTCTTTTATTTTAGAAAAGTAAAATAAAATTCCACGCCGACGAAGTCGCGAGAACAGCTAGTCTAAAGTATTACTTATGCGTGTACCACTACGTTTGATATCTAGTGTAGGTCAAGGTCTGTCCAATTTGGCATTTAAAATAACATTTTATTAGATTGTTCATTGAGCACTGTTATCACTATATTTCATTAACTTTATCACCAATAGTAATCTTGCCGCAGTCCCTCAAATTATATTAATTACAATGAATTCATCATATATTTTATCATTCCGGATACATATCGATGGTCTAGTGGTTTAGCACGCCCTTACTTCTGGTCGCGGGTTCAGTTCCCTCGCATGTCGCATAAACATTTGTATTCATGAGTATGATTGTTTGTATCGATCTGGTTGTTTTCAGTGTATAATATGTATGTATTTACAATATATATATATTTATATATTTGTATTAGTTGTCAAGTAGCCATAACACAGGTTTGCTTATGTTGGGACTAGATGGCGCTGTGTGATTTTTTTTCTGTCTGTCTGTCTCACTTTCACGCCAACACTACTGAACCGATTTAAATGAAATTTGGTACATAGAGAGTCTAGACCGCAGG